TATGTAAATATTTAATAATAATATATTTATAGCAAACCTGTGGACACCAGCCATCGTCAGGCAGGTATATCGTCACCGGCATTGTATACGACTGATTACGGTTAGTACATAGCCTACACGGGGGTACAGTAAACTGCTCCTGATGCCAGCCAAGCACCCACGGACCACCTGAGCCCGTGCTCCTGATCTGTTTAGGCAATATCACTGATACGGCCACGTAATACGTCAGCGCCGGTATGTATGCTATAATAATTTAATAATGATAAAAATATACAGAAAAATATATTGTATTTAGTTAACAATTTCCCTGATGGTAAATCTAATAATGGTGCAAAAATTATGGTAGAATTAGATTACTTGGCACAAAATCCACCTCGGCAAATAGTGGCCGACCCCTGACCAATGGATATACACCGCTCGGGCTCTGTTTGCCCGTCGTTTGATCCGTGTATAACAGCCGCACCTCTCGTATGCCATTATTGCCACCTATTATTTGTGTAACAATTTTATTAGTGTTTGTATTGAAAACTCTTATATAAACTAATTATTGTTATATATATTTTTCGTGGCGTTTATTACATTTCTAAGTACTTTATAAACGCCGATGCCTTTCGCACCGACACTTATGTCTAGTGTTTTGCTTAAGTACACAAATAAAGTAAATGGTATAGTATTGTAGTGTGCTTTTATGAATTGATCTAAATAAATATTAATATTAAATAATAAATTAATTGAACATGTTTTTTAGTATTGCAAAAAATGTGAATATTATTTATTTATTAGTTTTATTTTATTCTATCAGGTTATAATTCTATGTACAACCACTTTAACTTAATTCAATAATAAATAATAAATTTAATCTAGGAATAAAAAATATAAAATACAATTGTGGCCGAAATAAGATTATTATGCGTTAAAAAATAAAATTTACAACAAATTTAATAAACTATACAATGAAATAATAATAAGTATTATTCGAAAAACAAAATTACAAAAATATTGTAAAGTTATGCCAAAAATTCAACTAATACAACAAGAATTGATAAAATATTTAATATTTATTCAACAATGAAAATTACAAATACCCCGAAGAGTTTAGTTCTACTTTATTATCAACCATTCAATTGTCTTAAGACATTCAAATACAATTCCTTAAGGGTTGACAAAGAAAATTGTTTTAAACACCGGCTATACATATATTTAATATTTAAATATACATATTTTCAATGGAAATCTACTATTTTCATGAATGTCAAAGGCTTGTGAGCATAGCTTAGGGTTAGCCCTGTATAGTGTATAAGAGAATAATAAAATTCCTATTTATATTTTAATATAAAGCAAAAAATGTTTGCAGAAATCAAAATATCTAGATGATTTACCTGAAAATAATCTAAGCAAACAAATTGCAAAAATATGTCACTATATTTGTTATGCTTTGCATAACAGTAATAATATTGTAAAACAAAAACTAAAATATTATATAAACTAAACAAATATATACAAAATATTACAGAATATTCTTAATACTATAAATATAATATATAAGGTATGAAATCATATGTGTGTATAAGACTTACGCACATCAACCAAATCATGCAGTATTGCACACAAACGCGAATCCAATGAAAGATTAATCAAAATAAACAACAAAATACTTATAAAATTTGTCATCTTTTCATAAATACTAATTATGATTATATTATATAAAAACTATTGTATGAATATATTTAACGGCATACTATATAAGTCTGTTTGAATTAAGTTTAGATATAAAATAAATACAAGTATAATAGGTATACACGCTATACATGTGAATGAATACAACGATATAAAACTAATGACAAAAGAGTTTTGTACGCAAAATATACCGTATTTTTAAATAGTTATTTGATTACAACAAATCCATGTCTCTATAAAGTGTATTATTTGGTGAAAAATGCAATATTTTTGGCGCATATTTAGCTAAACAAACTGTTTATTCAGATGAAGGCTCTTTGATATAGCATTTGAATACAGAATATAATGAAAAATAAAAAACAATAATTTTAAAAAAATATTTCCATTCAATACATACTATGGACACAAAAAATTGTTGTTATATTGCCTTAA